TCATCGACATAATCTCATTGTTATCGTCCTGGTAACAGTCTGGCCATTAAAAGTCATTTATTCGTTTAAGTTGGCAGCAACCATTGACAACGTCGAACCACGATTCGCAATTATCGTCCTATAAACTTGGCAATGGCTAATTATATAGGCTTCAATTGATATTACATCATGGATATTAATTTATAGATCGAACACTTTTGACTCGCATAAACAAATTTTGTTTGTATCACATATTATCGCCTTCTAAAAACTTCTGTTTAATTTCAAGTGCAATATACACATGATTTAGTTTACTTATCTGAGAACAAGTGAACGTGATAAAGATAGTTAAGACATAGACTGGTAGCTAAGGCATGAGCAGCAAGTTTCTAAAACACATATTCCTTCATCTTAAGTTGAAGCATCTGCTGCATTACTTCTAAAAATAATTTACTGAAAAGGTATATTTTTCGAGTACTATGGCCAACGTATTCAATCACGTCGTCACACACGAAACAATGTTGACAGATACCATAACTAAACAATCATAGACATGAACTCTATCCGGGGCTGAAACCCAACACATTTAGCTCGCCCTATCTTTTAAACTGAAATTGTCTTATCTTTCGTTTGAAGAATTTTGAATATACCCTTTAACACATTTTTTTACCTATTTTGTAGGTGAAGGTGTTTAGAAAGGATAAATAATGTGGAATTCTATCCTAATATTAAGTGTATTTCTGATGTTAATACCGTATTCATCATTACAACTGTACGACAGAGGTAAGGTAGGTTACCTATTATAGTATTTCACCATTCAAATCGGGCACATCACATCCTAGAGCCTCCGAATTTGATGAGATCTTTACAATTAATGAATTTGAAGGATTCCTCTTGAAAATTAAAAAATTGTACATTGCATGGCGTTTCCCACCATCAGTAAGTAAATCGGGTTCAGAAAATTCTGTCTAATAGATAATATAGAAAAGTGCAATTTATTGAGTGGTGATTAGCAGAACATTGTCAGACCACAATCAAGTACCTTATTTGTAATATATTCTAGTCGTTAGTATTCAGAGTAGAAGTTTTATCTTTCTTTCAGATAATTCAATTAATCTTCCCATGGTTAATTTGTACATGGCACACGTTACTTTCGTATGCAAGGAGATGTGATACTGCATTTCCACGAGATAATGCAATTGAGCGTCGCTGAACTTACAAGACAACTTTCAATGCACCCACACTCTCATCCTTCCATCAACATTGCCTGTTTCATTTCACGATAACTACAGTTTTATTACACGACCACATGGAAATGTGGACGTATATTGCCATCACCCACATTCCTTGTAAACACAACTGGGGCTACAGTTTTAATTTGATCTTGATAAAACTTGGTATGTACGTATATATTAATGAGATCTCGGTCAGGTTTAAACAAGTACTCTGTGGACTTGAACTGAATTTTATCATTATAAATTGACCTATATTCCTTTTTGCAGCACCAATAACAAATTCTGGATTAATTGTATTTTAAATTTTTTCACTATAATGTGGTTTATTTTCCCCTTGGTACATGGTAGAGACTGTAACAGTATGTATGTATAATACTGAGATTCTAGGATAGTTCAATTAAAAAGAAATATTCTACAAACCGTAATCAATTTTTCTATTATGTGGGCATGACGACCACACGCTCATTGCACTAAGCAATTCATTTTAATGAAAAATAGACCGAATATTCGCACTGAAGAACACGTTATTTTGATGTTGATGGTAATTTTTTGAGTGCGATAATGAGCAAATAACATAACTTTAAAATTTGGAGATGAAATGACATCAAAGACTTGAACATTTGAAATAAGAGATAAGAATTCTATACATTACGTACAATAAAATAACATCCTCTCCATGTGATTGAATATTCATCTATATTTTAGCACCTCTTTTTATAGAAACTGTGTTTCCTGGTGAAATAATATTGGCCGTTCAGATTTCTGTCATTCCCCAGGCATAATTTTGACTTATAATCTACAGTTGGAATGCTGGATACCTATTACCCATTCCCTTGGGTTGTATCATCACTTCCATTTCGTTTCGTTCATAATGGTTGAAATTTTAAAGGGAATGTTCACCTGTTCAGCAGTACTCTCTCTTGACGACTTTTAATGAACATCACATCCTTGAGAAACATTTATACGATGAAAAAGTGGCTAAACATAACACCATGATTTTTTTTTTTTGTATTTTTATTTAAAAATGCTTTTTATTTTATCAAAAAAGAAAAAGTAATCAAAAGTTTATCAATTGGATAATTTCATCTAATGATTTTAAAATATATAAAATTATGATGTCGCTATCAAAGTGAAAGGTTTCTTGATGTCCAGGATGAAATTCTAGGTATGACTTTATGATTTACATGGGATCTCGAAAGAAATCGTCTTAATTCTTACTAAAGCTTGGCATATTCAGTCCTGAATCTAATTAAATACATATAGCAACAGGTTATTGTCTATCTAATTAATATATACGTGTTGGACTTGCGTCGCATTTTTAATTAAATTGATTAACCAAGTCTAGCTGGGCAGTTATTAATAAGTTACTATTTCCTGATCCTCACCCTTCGTGTGTAGGCAGCTTAAGGCTCGTACTTATTATTGTAAAATAAACCTTAGAAAGAAACAAGGTGGACAATTTAATAAAGCTAGTTCATTAAGGATTTCGAGTTACTAGTATCGTTGTTTCAGTTGCTGCTAATTACAGTTTTAGATTTTACCGACGGCAACTGAAAATGGTTTTCTATTTCTAATTTTAGCTGAATGGTGGTCATTATAATGGTGGCGTTAGACAAATTACAATTTGAGATCAGGAAAGAGATTGGTCCAATTTTATTTTAATCCTTCAATGTTTTTCAATATTTTACTGGAGTTCGTGATCTCGTGGGAAGCTGTAACGTCTGTATTCTTTTGTCATTTCCAAATAACTTACAAACACATTAATCATTTAGTCAGTCGAAACTATTCAGGATTTGTTTAAAAATCATTTGCATTTCTCTGGAGATAAACCGATTTGATGGTTTTCTCGACTTTTAATTCTATCATCAATGCTAAGCTTCAAACACGAAATTTCAAGCAAACATTATGCAAACTATTCTTAAGGAAGCACGAAGTCCATTAACTTAATTTTCCGTAATAATAACAACATTCAGCATTGTGCCTTGAATTAATATGTATACTGAAAATAATACTATTCTTATACTTGTTGGCGTAATGTAAGGGGAGGGGTGTTGTTGCAGAACTGAGGATGATTCCCGACCCCACCACCACTCCTCCATTTTTCAAATTTTTACATGTAATAACAATTGCCTGTGAGCTCCCCTTCAAAATTCTGTGTTCTTTCCGGAAAGGTGTAGCTTATTACTTAGTATTAAGAGAGAGATGATTAAGTTGAAAATTTAATGTAAATTCTTTTTTGCTATTTTAAAAATTTGAAATCACTGTTTCAATGAATGTAAAGTCTGCATATGCTATTTTCTGAATTCGACAATATTTTGGAAGGTGTTTACTGATATACATGCAGGTAGGAGATGACTTTGCATCACTATACATACATTTTCGTAGATTTACACTGCAGAAGAATTAATAACGTAAATAAATGTAAAATCATATTTGATTCTAATCAGACAATAATCCAATTACCACAAAAGCAATAATCCTTGTAGATTAATATTATTTCTAAAGAATACACTTTTTTCTATTAGAATATTAAATACATAATGTTTGCCCTGGGTTATTAATACCATTATAACAGTAAGAGACAATCATGTGATTAAATAATATCGATGAAAGCTTTTGAACCGGATCAACAATAAACGGGGCGTATAGACATCAATTATTTGGTATATCTAATGATATTTGACTGGGATAACAATAGGGTTTATCCTATAAATATACTTATTAGTTGGCGTTGATGGAATAAATCTAAGTGCTTTGGTAAATTAAACACCAAACATCCAGATCATATTGAGAATGATAAATACAGGACTTCCGTTGCAAGGCGTCAGACCTCACAATAAGGATGTTATGTGATAACTCGGAATTAATTACTGACGCTTAATCTAAAATTCCCAATACGGCCCAAATCTACACGTAGTACAGCCTGTCTTCTTTAAATATAATAATATTATATTTCTCTACGGTTTAATTAAACAATCCAAGAAAGATTATCGAAGAATTTTTTTGGCCATGAGCTATTTTTCTGTAACATTAAAAAAAATCATGCTTTTGTAGAATTGTTGATGTCGTGATGACAATAATAAATATACTTAAGTCACAGTATGATCTCTTTAAGCATTTTAAAGGGACACCAAATTGACTATAGCAGGAAGGTTTCGTGTTTCTCCGGATGTAAAGTCATTAGATTTACGTTTACATGTGTTGAGGTAAAGGTATTTGTTGTTGTACTCAACTTCGTGGGAAGCGACTTTAAAACAAGTTTAAAGTTTCCTTTACATTGTAACTTTTAACAACTTTGTAGATAGCTTTGTCAATAACCGTGCATCATGGTGTAGTGAACTGATACAAGGTTCTGTGGCTATGAATGCAGATCATGGTGATTTACAATGATACAACGTCCTATGACATTTAATGTAGATCATGATGTAGTAGACTGATACAAGGTTCTGTGACATTTAATGTAGACACCATGATGTAGTAAACTGATACAAGGTTCCATGACAATGAATGTAGATCATGATGTAGTACATTGATACCGGATTCGGTGGCAATGAATGTAGATCATGATGCAGTACATTGATACAGGATTCGGTGGCAATGAATGAAGACCGTTATGTAGTACACTGATACCTGGTTCTATGACAATGAAATGAAGACTATGATGTAGTACACTGATACATGATTCTGTGACAATGGCTGGAGATCATGATGTAGTACACGTATACGAGGTTATGTGACATTAAATGAAGACCATGGTGTAGTACACTGATACAAGGTTCTGTGGCAATGAATGTAGATCATAGTGTAGTACGATACACCGATACAAGGTTCTGTGGCAATGAATGTAGATCATGGTGTAATACTGAATCCCCTTTTCACTGCCATCGTAAGCATGCGTTTCTGGGACTTGGGCTGAATTTGATATATTTGTGAATTTATAGTGAATTCGCCAGAAATTATTAAATTGCATGCGTGGGATGTGTTGTAGAACAAAAAGACTTATATATAGATATATTATGAAAAGATTAAAAAAGGTTTTAGACTGATTATAAACCTACGAACACACTGAATATTAGTTTCTTAATGATAACAAAGTATATCAAATATAATTTTAGAGTACTTATAACGTTTTCATCCGGAAGTGTTTCGGCGATTGGTAGCGACTTTTTGAGAGCTTTAGTCAGTGGTTTTTTTTTTTTAATATTTCGAAATTTTATAATTGGTATTTGTCAATGTATAAAATGTAATTTGATAGAAGAAACCAAATTGGAATTTGACTGGCAGGGTCGTTATATACTTAAAGGCAGAAGACGCAGCTGCCTTCTCTAACTTTGATCAAAACACAACATGGTTATTCTCAGCTTTAAAGATGAGGTTCCTTATGTTTTTATTGTCAAATCAAGCAAACTATTTGATTAATTGGTGTTTCTAATCATGTATTCTTAATCATATCATTATGTTCTTAATGAATTTTAACCAATCATAAATGTCCATGTAAGTACAGTCTGGATAAACATAACAAAAAGACTTTTCTTAATCGGTCACTCATTGAAATTCTGCTGGTAATTCTCTTCTAATTAAGCTAAGTATGAATTAATTCTTAACATGTGAGACAAAATGGTATTTTTCCATGTCATTAGAACACCACTACTTTATATTCATATAAATATTAGCATTTTCATTTATGAAAATACGGGAACCCATCTTTAAAGGGCCCCGGAACCCCACCTGAATTTGGCTTTCGCTAACTCCTAGCTAGATTCCTTGTGCTTGTCAGATTCAATTGATGGAATATTACAGATTCAAGCCAAACAAAAACATACATTGGATCAAATGTTAGATTAGAATTTTCTTTAAGTTTAAGAATACACTGTAAACAGTTGGGAGGAATGTGAAGAAATAACTCATATCACAACGACTAATATCACAGCATTAATAAGACAAAAATATTATGAATATTCACGTCAATTGTGCAATTTCCTTTAATAAGTTGTATATAGTGTTTGTTTGTTGGGTATGAATTTGTCAATATTAGTTCGTGAATTTGGCACTTTTTCCATTTCGAGGATTTTTTTTTCAATTTTATATAAAAGACAATTAAATAACTCAACAAAGACAGTCATGAAGATCTCATTTGAATATTTCATTTTCTGTAAACCTAAAAATTGAAAACGCGTAATACCAAGCAAATCCAAGAAACCTACAAAGAATCACCATTTTGTGGCTTTTACATAAAGGTTTGCTTTCCAAAAGAACGAAATCCTCATGCCCCATGGTCATTCCTTTTACTTAATAGAAAGTCGTCACATGCCTTATAGCTAGCCTGTCTCTCGAAGAATATAGGTTACTACTGACACGAATATTAAATAAGTGGGGTGATTTAGTATAAAACTGCAACACGATGTTTTGGTGTGTTGTTTTGAGTTTTATTCCAAACTAAGTTAGTCTGATATAAATCAATGTGAATTAATTCAATTATTTGGCTTATATTTCCCAAGGTGGTTAAAAACCTAGTTATATCTGGTCTTACATTTTTTCACATGTTTTTTTTGTCTGATATACACTTTTTAAGCGACTGTTATTTTGAAATATAGAAATATCATGTCGAGTTTTATTGTCTAGCTAGAAACTAATCCAATATTACTCATGCCCACGCATTTTATTTCGATTTCACACTGCCACATCTATCTACACATCTTTTTCTTCGCTGTTTTCAAGGTAGGGACAGACCTATATTTCAACAGATAACAATATCTACTACATGTATGCTGGAAAATATAACAAGACTCGACCTTCTACTGTTTATTAACGGTTGATGGTTAATCAAACTTTACAAATATTTTTTTTTTTTGAAATAACAGCTTCTAAATAGTTGTGATGGTGATTGCGTTGGCGAAAATATTACAATAATCATTTTAAACTTTGTTTTTACAGAAAGGAAGTTTCAATGACGGCTGTTAATTTAGATGTAAAGTTACAAGGATTTTGTATTAGCTTTTGAATAAACGTTCACAGCCTTTTCTCATTTGCAATTTTATATAAATTTACATAGCTTCTTATAGACTTGCCAGACTTGCCAAAGTAGGAACTTAATTCTTCCTTCCTTCCTTAGTATTTATTACTATAAAGCTATTTAGAAGCGATCTGAAAGTATTAGATGAACTGTATTTCTTGCTTGATCTTGATTAAAGAACGAATCAATAGTAAAAACTTGGTGATTGTGGTATTTATGTATGATTAGAATGATTTGGTGGGGGTGGAAATTCTAATCAATCTATTTAGGGTAGAAAATCAATAAACATGTTTCCAATTACCTTAAGTACAATTTGAGTAGAAAATTGGTTTAATTGTATAATGTAGCTGATGTATATCTTGTTAAACACCCACTTTTACGAAGTTCAATTTTCTTTGAATTTTATTGTAACTTCGTTCATATATGAGTAGAAGGTCCAGAATGAGTTGAAAGTACAACTGACGTGGTGAAACGAATGAAAGGCTGCATCTTGTCAATTGAAACGTATAAAGTGCTGCATATTGCCATAAAAAAAACGTTGAAAAGCGGCATCTTGTCAAATGAAATATATGATATCTTGCCAAATGATTCGTATGAAAAGCTGCATCTTGTCAAATAAAACGTATGAAAAGCTGCATCTTGTCAAATAAAACGTATGAAAAGCTGCATCTTGTCAAATAAAACGTATGAAAAGCTGCATCTTGTCATATGAAACGTATGAAAAGCTATATCCTGGTAGTAAAATTATATTTTAAATTGGTCGAGAAAGTGACCGATAACACTTGCAAAATGTAAGTGTATCATTGTCATTTAGGTTATTGTGAGATGAAATATAGCCCCCGTATCATTTTGATACTAGTAACGATTCATACAAAACCTTCAACAATGAGTTATTAGGTATTTAATGAATAAATACAATCAAGTGTGATCAATAACTGTAATTTTATATATACTTCATTAGGATGAGAAAAATCTTTAAAAAGTTTTAATTAATCTGATAAACAAATCAATAATTTGTATTTTAACTAATCAACCTCCCTTTATAATATTACTTCTCAATTCACACCTGTCAAGCATATCCAATAACTCTTAATGGTAAAATTATTTTGATGAATTCAATCTGTGTGACAAATCCAACGTACCGTCTATGAAGCTTACCGAATAAGAATACATTCATTACTTTGGAGTCCAATATTTGAATTTAAGCTGCACTCAATTATAAGTGGTGCTTAAGCTGCCTAACTAGGCCATGGTCTTTTCTGGAACTCTTGTGATCATGCTACCGGGGTAACATTCCTTTTAAATGTGTCCATAGAACTATTTTTGTTTCAAAGGAGAGATGATTGTTATGCACTGAGATGACAAGATGAAGGCATTGAGGATGAGTTCCAATTAATTGAGTAATATTACCTCAATTGTTTAATTTTTCGCTTTTTACAACCAAGATCATTTGTATTTTTCAGGTTATTCTATGAGAAATTATAATGATTTTGATGCCTTGGATAAACTAAAAACAATTAAAAGGTAAGATATTTTTGTTCAAATATTCATAGATAATTTTGAAAATCCTGAAAAGCGTTATTAATTTCTTTTAATTTTATATTGTCAATCCAACGTCATAATATGATTGAAAAGCGTTGCTACTGGCTCAATTTCCAGTCTAACCCCATTCAATTTGTACCTGTAGCAGTTTGAACAAGCAGCACATTAATAATTGGCAGATTTCAGATGTTCTAATGACTTTGAAAATACCAGTTTGTCTCACATATCCATAATTTATTCATAATTAGCCAAATTAGAAGAGAATAACTATGAGTGATCAATCAAAAAACGTCAAAAAGTCTTATTTTGTTTATCCAGACTGTATATACATGGACATTTATGATTGGTTAAAAACATGCAATAAGAAAATAATGAAATGATTATGAATACATAATAATTCATTAGAAACACCAATTAATTAAATAGTTTGCTTAATTTGATTAAAAATAAGAAAACCAATCCCGAAACTGTCCAATCGCTTTTTGATCTTGATATTTTACTTATATACCATCACGGGCAAAATGTTCAAATCCTAACTTGAAAACAAAAGTTTCTAGAGCTTCCACAAGGAATGTGAACATAGATAATTTAAAAGCTCTGTCAGTTACCATGTAAAATGTTATTCCGCGCATCATTTCAAGTTGTAATGTGATTTCATAGTTAAATAATATATATATATATAAATGAACATTGAAACAAACATTGAAAACGGTAGATGATGTTATAATATTTCAATGTACGATAATTATGTTCTCTTCTCATTTTGTCGTCTATACTATCATATGCCCAGATGCTGTTTTATATAAAAAAAGAATGTCATTTTAATAGTAATATGGAACATTATAAAAGATTGTCATATTCAAAAATATCAACACTGCGTAACGAAAATTGTTTTCTGTAATTTCCAGACGAGTTTCATTTAGGAGAAATCAACAAGTAGAACCAAGAACATGTAGAGGATGGAGGGCACCGTGTATACCTTGGACATCTGAACCAGGAGAAGCATGTTGTACTAGTGCAAATTTAGTATGTCGATGTAATTTATGGATGCAGAATTGTCGATGTGTCGGTCGAACCTGGGGATGAAGTGATTCCATCGATGTATTAGTGATGTATAAGAACGTCACTGAACCAAACAAACAATTGAATTTATTATATCATTTACACAATTGCACTGGACACTTCATTTTTTAAACAAATGGGTCATTTTGCTTTATATTGTCTTTTAGAAAAGCACTCTGTTTTCATTCATTAACTTCCGTCTCGTAGAATATTCTTTTCTGAAGTGAAATTTATTATCAGATACTGACGATACTGTACGTTTAATTTCATTTTATACACTTTGAATATGTATTGTTTAGTTCCATTTTTTTTTTCACGCCAATTCAAGCTCATAGGTCAACTTGCTTTATACTGTCTGCAATGAACACTGTGTTTTCTTTTATCAACTTGTAGAAATTATTCTATTGTAAAATAAAGTTAAATTTATTATCTAGAACTGATACTGTACAGCTGTCCCTTTTAATCGTTTTATTTCATTGTTTTGTGTCAAATAAATTCTCTTTTTCGTTTTTATTATTCTTTTATCCTTGAAGATGCTTTCAGTAACGAAATTCTGTTGAAGCCATTGTAGGAAAGGATTCAGTGTTAAGAATGAGATACAGATTTTTGCCTGGAATACAAAATATGTTATAAAATTAAACAAATATGTACACACACCAGTCACTAAATATGAGGATCAGTATTTCATGGGTTTTGAGATTATCCCATAAAGTAAACCTCGTTCAGTGATGGCAATGTAATATCAAAATGCCAAAATCCGCATTTCATATCACACGTAGTGAACAAAGTACATTTTTTTTTTTACAAAAACAACACATCAAAAAGTAATTTGTGAATGAATTGTTGTTACGTAGTCAAATACTCCTCCTTCCAAAATCAATACAATTTCTTTCTGAATTGTCTGGCTTTCGAACAAAATTGATTGGGGACATGTTTTACCCACGATATATCATATCATAAAATTTTATATCAATTTTAATCCGATAGTTTCTGTGCTGGAATTAAGACTATCAGACACTCTATAACAGTCAATGACACAGTTCCGTGTTTCGTAAATAAGATCATACATATGAAAACTACTATCAGAAGCTTGAATGCAGACACAAAATTGTAATATGAAAAATATTCTGTAAAGTACCAGATTTGATTGCTTTAAAACTCATTTTACAAACATGTACATATATATGAATATAAAACATACAATAATAGAATATTTTTACTGTACTCGGTACATCAAGTGCATAGCAGAGCAGAAGCCACTAATCAAATACCCGATCGGTATTCTGATCTCCACATGCAGACCCAAGAACATATCTACTTTTCAAAATCCAACGTTTCAATATAATGGGTCAAATGCCTTTTTTCGACGCCTTAGATCGATGCATCGAGTTATACTTTCAACAATAATAGCATGAACGGATGCTGTAGTACTTACAAATATCTAGAGAGATCATGACATTACTTTCAGACGTTGATTTAGAAATCACTGAAAAGGTAGACTGATTTTCATAACTTGGTATTAGAAAGAAAATCTCTTATGTATAATGATACACGTCTATACCAACAGACTTGTAAATACACAAACTAAGCGTGACTAATTATACGGCCAGTAAGGTATTATTTAGAAAAACATTCATTAAATCTAAAACACTCGTTATTACTTCGTATACTCTCTAGAAGGCAAAAATCTTGATTGATTTTGTGGGAACCTGCAGGTTTGATAACATCAAATTTCATCAGAAGCAACTGAAAACAGTAGCTTCTTCTGTGTTAACAAAAACTGAAAACGAGGTCCATTAATCCTACGAATTTCTCCAAAAATTTCTAGAAAACCCTAGCTTTTATTATGTGCATACACAAATTTTATGAGTATTTCTTGAACTTTGCTAACGAAACTGAAGAAAAATTTGTTGTTGTGAAGATAATGAGTCTTAATAGCGAACTTCTTGTAAATTATAACTGTCTTCTTAATGAATCCCCTTAACAACAACATTGACATTGATTACTGCTCTCTTTATATAGGGAAGTTGTTAAATATATCATATTTCGAATGCATATCGATTTACATTTCTTATCATGCGTACCATACAAGCAGATTTACCATTTGTCACTTGTGTGGTTTGAGATTGAAGTTAAAATAATAGTGACTTTACATGTCACGACAAGCTTCCAATGGTTCCTGATCAATGCATGTAAATCCTCTATATATCATGACTTAATATTAGCATTAGTGGCTAAAATAGATTGGCGGGGGCCCCCGAGGATTATCTTTTTTAACATATTACACTCTCATGCATTCCGAGACCCCTCTGTATAGGTCAATGTCATGCCTGTCAGTAGTTAAGTCACTCATTATTGCTGGTTGCTCAGTTTGATTATAATTTTCTGGCGTTTAGGGGTGTGGGCCAGTGTACTTGGTTAAACCAGTCTTTGAGCCACTGCATGACAATGTTTTCAAACATTTGGATACAATAATATTTAAAAAAAACTCAATGACAGATTAAATAATTACAACTTTTTTCTACCAAACACAGACATAATAAAAGGTACTAGTTTTTTATAACTATACTCATTTTCACCAAAACTGTACATATAGCAAGTTCTGGCAGTAAGCTCTCGACATATGTATATTATAGTTACCTTCTATCGTAATAAATTCTTTGAATCCACTAAATAATAGCAATTTATAATTTATTAAATTCCCCTAAATATGTAGACTATACCTCTACACGTAAAGGATTGTCTTTTAGGTTGAAAACTTTGAAATGTTCGAAATGAACAGTATTTGTCAGTTGACCTGAATTGATTTAAATAAAGTTCACTTATCATGTCGTTGAGTGTCCTGGCCTATTGTTCTTGTGCTAGTCTGTCAACGTTTTCAAATTTGAAGAAAGCCATTAGTTGCCCGAGAGACAAACAGACATTATCTCAGGCCATTCTGAATGGCTTAACGAAAGCTTTTAAAATTGTCTGAACTCTCTAATTCAATTGAGAAAATTAAATTACCCACAAAACTATCATCAAGTGCAGGAGGTTGGGGGAATTAATGTGGAAATAACACCGACTAAATTGAAATGAACATTGACCCTGGCTACATTAGTGAAATAGTATTTCAGAAAAGTGCCAACCAAATGTCGAAACGTACGATGACTATTTCGTAACGTTTGTAAATACCAACTTAGACAAAAGTAATTGGCCAGAATGGGCGTACCATGACGAAAGACGTTTGTACTTCATCAACTCATTCAGCCAGGAGTCTGGAGATATGAAATGTGTTGGAGAAAAAGAACAGTATCTTGTTTGGTTTATTTAAATGATTATTAGATTAAACTAGTGAATTGTGATAACGTGACTAAGAACATTATCTCTCTATTAAATATATCATAAATATAGACCAAAATATTCAACTATGTGGACAAAGATACGCTATCACCTTATCGTAGAATATCTTTATATATTAAATCATTTTTTTTTCAAAGCGGTTTCAGAAACATTGTGCCAAAGATGGACACAGATCATGCACTACGTTGAAAACCTCAAAAATAAAACTAGGGTTGGGTAAGGTTAGCCCTAACCCACTCTACGCATCTAGAACTGTAAACAGTTTCGAGCGTTGCACATGACTAATGCATCATCTTCGCAATGTCAAGCCATTACAAATTGCGTCTTAAACTTTGACATCGTTAAATACTTTACTCTCTTTCGTAATATCAGCGATTTGATTGGGTAGTTCACTGTCGATTACACAGCCGCTCAGTGCCGAACAAAAGTTTTATGAAAATGTTTATATACATTTTAACGAGGGTTCAGATTCACTTTATTCGCTAAATCACGTATCGTTAGAGGGGAAAAAGAATGCTATTTGATTATCAAATTTAAATTAATGTAGGATTAATACATTTGAAGTTATAATTTAAGTACATAAAATTTCAATGCAAATTACAGTAATGTCTTGATGGTTTCAATAATGGTTCAGCTTTATATAGATACAAGTTATGAGAAATTTCATTTTTAACATGGTGGCATCCATAAAAAAGGGTCAGATTTGTAGGGCTATAAGTATGATTGCGAGAGAACATGTGTACATTTCAGATCATAGCATAGCCACGAGGAGAAGAATTTTGTTCTGCGTTTTATTAGTTTGACAGTAGTTTTCCTAAATATTGTCAAAGAAAGCTTGTTATGCTGACAGCTTCTTATTTGAATTGGAACATTTGTCATAATGGCAACCTTAAAAAATGATTTAATATTTAACCTTTAGGCGTACATTTTCCGAAGTATTTTTTCTGTAAGGACTCTTCTTTACGTGATTATCGATAATTTCATGACGTTTCTTCAAAATACTTCAATATTTGTCCCTCCTAGTGTGTTTATGAGCTATTAATTTCATGCGTTTCGAAGAACGATGGTTAGGATTCATAGTAAATATTTTTTTCTATTTTTAATTTGCATAGGGTATATTCTTGGGTCATAATCATCTATTTCAAGTTTGGTCAAAATCTGTCATGAAATAATTCACATTTGGACACCAAAGAGCACAATCGTATCATTAATGTGAAACTGGTTGACTGTTTTGCTTTTCAAGGCCAAAGTGTCTAGTGCTTTGTTGGTGGAAACTTTCTAAAGCTTTGAATATGAAATTTTACTTATAGTTAACAACCTAGATTTTATGTAAAGCGTAACATGTCGAGAGAATTTGCTGGAATTGAACTGAATAATACACTGGCTCATAATATGGTCAATGATGATTCAGGTATAATAAACGTGCTCATAAATAAATGTATATTATATATCTAGATTATGTAAATGTAATGAATATATATTAAACATTACCGATATGCACGAGTTCCCTATACCGACCGTCCACAGGTTAGAATCTGAATGTAAAGATTTCCACCTATTGATGATATTGTAAATTGTTGAAACAATGTGTACAATAAAACGCAGGAGTAGAATGCGATAAAATTTTGTTTGGTTATTTAATACATACGTATGACATCATTAAGATTTTAAGTTATCAAACCATTTTACTATCTCTAAACAGTCACGTGGGTTGTTGTTATTTAATAGTCGACGTTGTACATTTTACTTAGCGTGGATGAACATAGAAAATGGCTTCTCAAACGCCCACCAAAAAAATTGGTATTATTGGAAGGTAGGTAGTGACCTCTTACTGCAATGATTCACCGATGAATCGCGATTCTTTCCTTCTTCTCGGTGCATTGCGTTGGATAAAAAATAATCATTATTTATTCCTCTTGTGTATAGGAAATTCTGTCATGGTTTGATTATTAAAGTATAATTCTCTTCTTCTAAATGTTCTCATGTACTAAATAGTGACAAAATTGTTATAATGTTTATACGCCCACATGGAAATGTGGGCATAAATTGCCGTCGCCCCTGCCCGTCAGTCCGTTGGTCCGTCGGTCCGTCAACATTTCTTGTTTTTGTCTGATTTTAATGAAAATTGATGTGATAATCTATATTGATGAGATCTTGGTCAAGTTTGAATTTGAGGATTTTTCGAAGAACTATTTTTGAGTTATTGCCCTTGACTTAGGAAAACGCGTCAAAATTTGTTTGTGAACGCAATAGAGACTACAGTTTTCAACTGATTTTAATGAAACTTAATGTGATGATGAGATCTTGGTCAAGTTTGAATTTGACTATTTTTCGATGAACGGTTTTTTAGTTATTGCCCTTGACTTAGGAAAAATACGTCAAAATTTGTTTATGAACATAATAGAGACTACAGTTTTCAACTGATTTTAATGAAATTTGGTGTGATCATTCATATTGATCAGATCCTGATCAAATATAATTTGACGATCTTTGGATGAACGGTTTTTGAGTTATTGTCCTTGACTTTGGAAAATTGAGTCAAAATTTGTTTGTGAACACAATAGAGACTACAGTTTTAAACTGATTTTAATGAAATATCGTTTGATCATTTATATTGATAAGATCCCGATCAAGTTCGGTTTAATGAAACTTGGTGTGACGACGTATATTGATGAAATCTTGGTCAAGTTCGAGTTTGACGATTTTTCGAGGAACGTTTTTGAGTCATTGTCCTTGACTTAGGAAAAACGCGTCAAAATTTGTTTGTGAACAAAATAGACCCTACAGCTTTCAACTGATTTTAATGAAACTTGATGTGATGATGTATATTGATGAGACCTTGGTCAAGTTTGAATTTAACGATTTTTCGATGGACGGTTATTGTTATTTTGAGTTATTGTCCTTGACTTAGATAAAATGCTTCAATATATGTTCATACACAAACAGATTTCACGCGATTTTTATGATAAATAAAATTAAATGAATGGAATTTCACGTCAATGGTCATGTTTGAATTTTCAACGATTTCACTCTTAACATTTGTTTGCCCTTGATATTTAGAGCTGTGTGATTTAATAATTTGATAAATTTGGGTTATTGGTATTGATTTTAAAAATTTTGTGTAATTACTCTGGAAGTAAATATATATATCATTGAATTCAAACTTATAAAATTTCTTTAATATGAGAAAAGTCGTACTTTAGTCACTAAATACTGTTTTATCATTTCTGACAGCTGCCAGTGGGAGTATGTTACCTTGCCTGGAAATTATCTGAAATTTTTTACTATGTTGTTTCTATCCTTCTCTAATAAATGAATCACGATTATTATCGCAATAAATCGTATCGCTAGATGAGTATCGTTTAGTGTATCGAAGGGCTTCAAAAATCGATGCAGCCCTACCACGTACTTATCTTTTCAGATTCTGAACAAAGCAATGCCCCATGAGGTCCATTTGATGCATTTTACAATGCCAAGTCCTTTCGTCGTTGTTCAGATTGACATTCTGGAATCGCCAGAAAAGAATTATATTGTTAACCCACAAATGACCATTCACTATAGCCTTCTATAAAACTACTATGAAAATTGTGTTAGAGGTGACACAGCTAGCTAATCCATTTGAGATAACTCCCTGCCGACCCAGATGTGTAGCATCTCATCCCACCATCTAGATAAAATTGCAATAAATGTTAGGAAAACTAAGTTTTCTAACTAAAAAAGTTTGAAAATAAAATCGATGACTGCTAAAACCAAATGCAGTGGCCAGCTAACTGAGATTGGGGATACAGATAGTGGGCGGACTGACAAAATAGAGTTGGCACCAAACCCAACGTCTGAGAGGCTTCTCCAGAACAAATTTTGAAAAATAGAATGGATTTGGTGCATGCTGACACATATTTTAGGGCAAAAACGTATTCTCTTTTTCTCTCGAGAAGATAAAGGCGGTAACTCTTAACAAATTGTCGCAATGTCCTACCTAGACAGGTCTATCTGATTATCTTTAATAGGTAGAAATAACAAATATAGGAGATATAGGAGAAATTGATACGCTCTATCTAAATAGATAAACCCAGCGCACACAGCTCAACCATTCGTTTCTTCGTGTCACCCATTGCCCCTATTTTATTAATGTTGACAGAACGGCAAGAGCCTGTGAAAGCTGTCATGCTATATTTTTACCGCTGTTTAACAAATACTTGCCGAATACATAAATTATGCTTTTAGTTCTGTTGATTTCAAATTAACTTTTTTCCAGTGGTTTGATAGGTCAGAGTTGGGCCATGTTGTTTGCCAGTTCTGGTTATGAAATAAAGCTGTTTGATTCTCATCAAAGCCAGGTAGAAAACGCGTTGAGTAATATTGAAGAACAACTACATTTTCTAGAGAAAGAAGGTCTATTAAGAGGAGAATTATCTCGACAAGAACAACGAGAGAGAATTTCAAGTTGCTCGTTATTAGAAGATTGTGTTAAGGACTCATTTTACATTCAAGTAAGATAACTTTATTTCTGAGGATCCTTAATTAAAAATCGGCTGTCGTGTCAAATTGTCAAATGACGAAGGGAATTATTCTAAATTATTTTGAACATGCTCGCCATACATGTCTATTGATAAACTAAGTGTCGTTTTCAACCTAATTCACAAGACATTCTACAGGACGGCATGAAAGACATGTACTAATTAGCTATAAATTCACGACGCCCCTGGAAATGGTATTCTATGTTAAACATGATGATATTATAGCCCTCAGCTCACATTCGGTATTCGACCACAATACATTTAGTCGGAAATTTTCTGGATATGGTCTAGCCTCTTAATAGCTATAACTATTAACAAATATTATCCATGCTTATATCCAAAACATCTCTACTTTGCAACGAGAGTATACAATAAGATCATAATAATATAATTAGAAATCTAGTTATCAAAGATAATCTTTCAATGGAATCTACTTACTAACTACAAATAACATATAACAAACATGTATATACATAGAGAAACATGATATTGAAATGATGTGTAGAGATTATTATATGAACAGTAGGAAGTGATACTAGATTATAAAATACTGTACATGGATCGTGGTAGATGGGAGTAAAATGATAAATTAGTCATATAAATGAAATAAAGTAAAATTAGAGAGAATAAGTTCCTTCTTTAGTCTATCTTAAGACAATTTGAGGGTTGTAGAGTTGTAGATGAAATTAAAGATTGCTAACATGGGTTATTTTGAACATGATCTTGAAATTTTTCATTTATAATGTTGAAAATCTATTTCGTTTTTCACGAGTTAGCCAATTTAATTAAGAAAACAAATCTGTCACTACAAGCTACACATATTTCCTAGTTCGGAGAAATGATATGTTCAGTACAAAATATAAATATTTTAAGTAAAACGGATTGAAAGTAGAGAGTAGTTTGAAGAAGTAAATTCGCACAATTTTTCTCTAATATAAGTTTCTGGCGAAAGAGTAATTGCCTGATATTGTTATTTCATTTATAGGAATGTGTTCCTGAAAGACTAGAAACCAAAAAGAGAGTATGGAGTGAAATCGATAAACTTGCAGACAGTACAACAATCTTTGCAAGTTCAACAAGTTCCTTATTGCCGTCCAATATATCTCAACATCTTCAAAATAAAAACCGTTTTCTTGTTGTTCATCCGGTACAGTCTTTTTACATTAAACCTCAACTATTTATCCACTCATACGTCATTCTAGTGGTTGGAGAGACCACCAGAGTACTATTGTCAAGGATGCGTAGGAAAACATGACAATCCATGTTCACAAGAAATGTGGGAGATACGTGTGTTTAAAAGCAATATAAACCAATAATTACTCTGCGATGATAGAAAGGGTTTGAGAGAAGTTTATTTATTTGTTTTTTGGTACTAGTTTTCCTTTCTGACCACTCCAGACAGTTCTAATGTAAGGCTGTAATTCGGTTCACTTCAGACTGAAGGAGGGTTGATTTTAATAATTGAAGAATAGATGGAATTTTAATCTAAATAACAGGAACTGAATATGATATCACTATTAGCATGTGGAATCGTTCTATTATATAATTCTGATCTGTTAAATAATCATTTCCGTTCGGATACCAAGTGGTTTCAGTGCTAATGTCATGTACAAGGATTTTGCCTCTGCTTCCTTTCAAAACTCGTTGCATTCTGGCAAATAACCCTCATTTTACTTCAGTCGGTAATTTATAGACATAGCGTATGATATGTGAAAGTGGTTATTTGAGAAAGTTTTCATTTATATATAATTACCTCAACACGATTTTAGTCCTTATCTTGAACTGATTATTGTGTAGCTTCACTTGAAATATTATTGTATCGTGTGGTAAGAAATATTTGACAGACAATATTATTTCCCTGATATTCAGAACAGTTTTATGTCAAATTTTATTTTTCATTTATCAATAATCAGACAAACCCACCATACTATGCTCCCCTTGTGGAACTAATTCCAGCACCATGGACAGATGATGATGTAGTACCTACAACTAAGTCTTTAATGCTACAAGTGGGTCAGGTTCCTGTTATATTAAAGAAGGAGATTGATGGCTTCGCTCTGAATAGAATACAATATTCAATTCTGGGAGAAGCATGGCGACTTATAAATGTAAGTGTCAAGTATAACATATTACCATCTTTTTACAACAGAATAATAAAAGAAATCCCAAGTATAGTTAAACCCCGAGGAATACATTTCAATTCAATTCATTGTTAAATGAATAGATTAGCGTTGGCTTTTCCGACGCGAATTTTCTTGTGTAATTGGTAATTTGAATTCATTTGGGTCTACTTGGAAGCTAGGATTTCATAATTTAATATTCAATTCTTATGTTTGGCGGGGGACATTTATTGTGAATATGGTATCCTGAATAGTAATGTCAATAGAAATATATTAAAGTCAAGAAGTATAAATCTGTACTTTTTGCTGGTGCACAGAACGTAAAGAATACTTTTTCTTTCAGGATGATGTGATCAGTGCTGAAGATTTAGATAAAGTTATGTCTTCTGGATTAGGTGTACGCTACGCTTTCATGGGGCCATTGGAAACGGCATATCTCAATGCCGATGGTAAGCTCAATTGTTTAGAGAAATAAAAGAACAATTGTTCCCTGACGAACTTTACAAGAACATGCTTTCGAATTTTTTGTTGTCTGTTTTTCAACATCAAGGCTTTTCTCCATTTTCAAAGATAGAATTAAAGGATCGGATCATTTAATAGAAATGACATTTGCCTAACCCCAGGTATTTTAACTTTTCTTGACGTTTTTTTTAGGTATGCATTCATATTATGAACGTTATGGTGATATGATCTATGCGTTACAGAACTCGTTTGGCCCACCACTAAAAATGCAAGGAGAAACGGGTGATAAAATCCAGAAAGAACTTGAAAAATATTCTTGTCCGGTTTCAGAAATTCCACTCAGACGTCAATGGAGAGATAAACGCTTAGTGGCTTTAGCTAAACTGAAAAAGGAATTAGAAGACACTGAAACAACTTAATTGGAATTAAAGAGTTACCTATGGAAGTGACATGTGACATTAGATATATCAGAATCCCTGTGACATTGATGTCTTTTGTGTTTGAATCCCTAGAATATGAAGATGTAATGCAATACACAAAAGTATATGGGACCTTTAAAAAAATTAATGTAATCGTCTAGATACCAGCTCTAAGAGCTAAATTTCAGCACAAGAACATACCGTTTGACCTTATAAATATTATTATTCTCTCTACAGATATCATGCATTAGGTATAATGTATCATTGGTGCCCAAGTAAGCTGAAATCTGGATCTTAAAAAAGATGAGAGGACCAGGGATAGAAAATCCTTTGGGACTGTGATGTGCATTAAAAAATTCTTTTCTTTGCCATTATTTATTTCTTTTAAGTTTGTCTAACTGTGCTAATCTTTCATCCCTCCATTCTTTACGAGTTTGGGTTTGATCTGCTGGTACTATATTAGTGAGTTCCTCCTGTATGTTATCAGCTGTAGCAGCATCATATTCTATAGGTGGTGGTGTAAATGTTGATGATACCTTTTGCATTCCTTCAGCATATTTCTTACAATAGTCTTTAATACCTATAATATTATTTTAAAATAACATGCGTTAATGTGTACGCTTTTAAAAATATGGATAATGATATTTTCTTTATTGAGTTAATAATTGGTTAGAAGAAATTATATATTTATTGAACAAATAAACTAATATAGAAAAAAAAACAGTTTTCGTTGGCATCCATTCGTTTATTACTTTCACCATCTGCAAATTTCTTTATTTTCTAAGATACGGAGTCTTACCATCTGCATTCAAATGCATAGTTTCAAGTGGACCAATAAAAGCATATCTTCTACCAAGTCCTTCATACATAACTTTATCAATATCTTCAGCACTCAATACACCATTCTGTTAATAATAATATTTTTAAGTTATTGAAATATGACACAAAACATCTCAGAAATTTCTACAGGAGTGTTTAATTTATAGTTCATAGCTTATATCTAAGCTCCACCACGACTTTATAATATATAAATCTATAGTATTACTATTATTATGAGAGCATACCCAAAATAATAACCTTATAAAGACTCCAACATTCATTAATAACAGCATATTGAATTCTGTTTAATGCGAATCCAGGAACCTCTTTCTTTAACGTAATAGGTGCTTGTCCTATTTCTTCCATTAATTGTCTGGTCCTGTTTGTAATCTCAGTGGCTGTCCATGGGGCTGGTATTATTTCAACTAATGGTAAAAAATATGGTGGATTAACCTATCAAATATAGATAATCATATTTAAAATACCAAATAGAATACACATTGAACATTAATTAATTAAAAATTACAACAACTTTATTCAGAACAAGGTTACAACGCCATCGAACTAAAAACAAGGTCACCATAGAGATATCGACCTGAAAACAAGGTCACCCTACATATATCGATCTGAAAATTATGATCACATTCCAGATACTGATTATTGTTTTCGATCTGAAAATTATGATCACATTCCAGATATTGATCTAAAAACATTGTCACCTTAAAGATTTCGACCTGCAAACAAGGTCACCCTACTTACTTCGATCTAAAAAAAACAAGGTCACCCTACAGATTTCGATTTGAAAACAATACAGCCTATCAGGTCGATCGATCGGAAAACATCGATTAAAGATTTCGATCAGAAAACAAGGTAACCTTACAGATTTTGATCTGAAAACAAGGTCCCCTAACAGATTTCGATCTGAAATTAGGGTCACCCTACATATTCCTATTTGAAAACAATACAGCCTGCCAGATCGATCTGACAACATCGATTAAAGATTTCGATCAGAAATCAAGGTCACCTTACAGATTTCGATCTGAAAATAGGGTCACCCTACATATTCCTATTTGAAAACAATACAGCCTGCCAGATCGATCTGACAACATCGATTAAAGATTTCTATCAGAAAACAAGGTAACCATAAAGGTTCCGATCTGAAAACAAGCTCAATGACATACCAAGAAAGCAAAGTACGTATTCATTATAAATTATCTGGAACGGAAAAGAGAAACTTACGGGATGTGCTATTAACATATTAGTTTTATGATTTAAATTTTCTGTAAATTGTGATGAATTAATACAACTACTAGAACTTGCTATAACCATATCTTTAGTGCAATATTTGTCTAATTCTCCAAACACGCTCTTCTTCATCTCAATACTTTCGGGTACACATTCCTGAAGGCAATGATTTGAATACTATTAGTATTTACCAAACCGATGAACAAAATTCCGTAAGAAATTTTAATATCATTAAAATTACTTAGTTTAATAAATTATTTCTTGTTTCATGAATTTATTGGATTAAAGAGAGATTCTGTTGTATAGTTTTGACACCAGGTAAGTCACAGACAAACAAAGACTCATTTTGGCAAAATTTAAAACAAAAAAAATTTTTTTTCAAAATATAACTTAACTTCTGTAAGTTCTCTGAACTGTTAAAATTAGATTAAAAATATTTTCATAAGTTACCTCCCTTAGTCGGTCAAGTCACTGTTTTTTTTTTTTACTTCCTGTTTGTCGTCTTTATTGAGCATGTTGAGCAGCGATGGCACTCGCCAGTCAGAGTAGTCTATGCTTATTCTTTTTGACACTTGATACCACTTTTCAAAAAATTGTTATGTGAAATGTTCATTTGCTGTTACCAATGTTAAGTCAATATGTTGGATTCAGGTTTCGTTTTGCGGTTCAGATCGTCAGTAGCCTAATTGTTAGTCATCGGCCTATTCTCAGTACACTAAGAGGCTGATTAGGAAATGGAACTCGTGTAGAAAATTCAGACCTCTGGACGTGACTTGATAGTGCCTGTTTTTATTAGTTAATTAAGCTATTCAAAGTAGCCTACGTAAAAGTCTAGAAGTCTATAGCTTAGAAATCGCGTTTTTCAGATAAAAAATATTCTACAAAGATTACCTGAACGTAAATAGCATTCTCCATACAAGCCTTTATATCATGACTACCAGTTATCAACTTGGATTGTTCCTCTGCAGATAAATTGCCTCTTAAACATCCTTGTGTTTCGTATGACTTTAATGATTTTGTCATATTAGCTAAAGCCTTTTCTATTTGCTTATCATCAATATCATAAACAGTAACATTATAGCCAGCTCCGACAAATATCGCAGCCCAACTTTGCCCAATAAGTCCACTGAAAAGCAAACAGGCTCAAGTTGTGATGTCTGTGAGGGTTAAGCCCTCAGAAGAATCTAACTCAAACGCAAATTCAACGAAAAAAATGGACCGGGGCAAATTATCCAATTTTTATACGCCCACATATACGCGTATATAGCCGTCACCCATGTCCGTCCGTCCGTCCACAATTGCTCGTAAACACTCTAAAAGACACAATTCTTGATGTTGACAAAACTTGGTGTGAGAGTCCGCCAAGATGAACCCTACTGAAAATCAGAAGAATCGAAAAATATTTAGTATGAGTTACTACCCCTGTTCTTGAGAACGCGTTCAACTTTTAGCTCGTAAACATTCTAGAAGGTACAATTCTTAACGAATTTAAACATAAACTTGGTGTGAGTGTTCGTTATCACCCAAGGTTGAACCCTATCGAAAATCAGAAGAATCGAATTACTGCCCCTGATCTTAAGAACGCGTTCAATTTTTAGCTCGCACACACTCTAGAAGGCACAATTCTTGACGGATTGTTGACAAAACTTGGCATGAGTGTTCGTTATCACCCAAGGATAAACCCAATTGAAAATCAGAAAATCAAAAAAAATATTTAGTATGAGTTATTGGTGTGAATCCTATAAAAAAAAAACTAAAAATCATAGGAGTTATTAAGCTCGTTCTTGAAGCTCTAAAACACTAAAAGGCACGATTCTTGCCGGATTTTGACAAAATTTGGTTTTATTAACGCAGCTGAATTCGCTATTGTACAAAACATCTTTAAAAGAGAGACTATTTCGGATTAAAAATGGAGTTACAAAAAGTCCCTTATTACCTTCCGATAATAGCAATTTTACCCTTTTCAGACTTGCAGGCCATTATTACACGTCCAAAATGAACTTTGCAACCTTCTCTCAGTGCAAATCAGCTTAGTATGTGTGTTATCTTTATCAATATTATAGCCGATAGCGTATCATATTTATACTACAACCATATACAAAACGAAATACTGTTTGAAAGTTTATATGTTTTTTTATTGATGTATTATAATTATGCAAAATTTTTAAGGTATTCAACAGTCTGGTAAAGTAAAGAATAATGTTTGATTAGGGATTCCATTTTTTTAAATAATAAATGATCCTTAGAAAATTTCATTTATTTTCGTTTTCTGTTTATATAGGTTATCCAGTCGGAACGATGTCGTCTATTTCCACGTGTAGTTACGGTGGGTTCGTTTTGCCGCATTGCCCAAATTGCCGCATCGTGCCCAACTGCACAAAAACGACATGTAAAACGAAACTAAAGGTTTCTGATAAAATCCGGAATGGCCATTTTTCACATGAAACGAAATATTTTAATCTGTTGTCCCGCATCTTTTTTTTTTTTATGTATGATTTGGACCTGTTAGGGAAATCGAAACTATAGTTTTATGGTAAAATCTGAAATAAAATAAATACAAAGTACAAACAATCAGAACCGTAATACAAAATACAAAAATCCACCACGGCAGGCGAATGGTAAATATTCAGGATTTTGGGGCAAGGGCAATAACTCTGCTTCTAACGGTCGAAAATAGCTCAAATTCGAACTTGATCTTCGTGTTATGAATATGTATACACATACCGAATTTCATTTGATTCCATCCAAAAATCTAGTTTTTAGAGTTTACAAGCAAATGTTGACGGATGGACCCACGGACGGACGGGGGTGCCGACAATATACGTCCACAAAGAGAGATGTGGGCGTATAAAAATCAATGCGGGACGACATATTAAAAAAATTTCGTTTCATATGAAACAAATGGCCATTCCGGATTTTATCAGAAACCTTTAGTTTCGTTTTACAGGTCGTTTTTGTGTAGTTGGGCACGATGTAGCAAGTTGGGCAATGCGGCAAAACTAAACCCACCGGTGTAGTTAACGTTTCTCGTGCCCCAAATTATGCTGTTTGTCGAAACAGAGAAACCTGTATCTTGTCACGCTATTAGTTTTGTTTGACAAAAATTTTGATTTGAGGTTTCCCTTGATAACCCTATTGAAGCAAGAATCGATAAAATTATATTTTTTTCCTTTTATTTACTGTAGGCCTATCACTTTGTACAGTGAGTAAGCTAGATAGACCTACACTGTTACTGTGTAAAGTAATTATGAAATATACTAATCTATGATTATAATGACGTCATGTATTGATTGTTACACAATGCCATCTGCGGCAAATGCGGTTGAAACAGCAAACTAATTTGAAAGTATGCACATCTGTCACCACGAAACGAACTATGATAATTACTACAAAAATGTGCCAGTAAGTTGTAGATTAAAATAATCCGAAAGCGTCTTACGCTTTGGATGAGATTTTAATAACGGAATTGTCTGACGTATGTACGT